ATAATTTAATTATGCACCAATTGTAATACAAGAGGAAAAATTCAAAATTTATATCATGATATCAACATTATGTTAATGTCTCAACAAATTAAAATAGCAAAAACACTGAGCACTAATTTCAGATTTTAGAGGAATTTCAAAGACAATTCTTTATTCAAGATGAGAGAGAACTTCTTAAGAAGAATTCTTTTTGTGGTTATTTATGCTCAAATATTTCATTGTATTATAACATCAGAACTTCAAAGATCAGTTTCCTAAGGATTCTTAACTAAGAATGTGTGGCCAAAGAGATTTTCTGGAATAAGTTTCTTACATGTTTGGGCCCATAACAATTACCATGTTTGATGCTTCAGAAAGGAAGATATTGTTAGGCTGCACCCAAAAAAAAAGAGAGAGAGATAAGAAGAAGAAGAAGTTAGGCTAGATGAATTTAATTTTGAGCCAAGATTCAGTTAAGACTATCCATGACATACAATGAACTCATTATGGATGCTTTCTAGGATAGGGTGCCTTCCACTATCAATTGCTAGCGGGCCATCATCTACCAAGTGAAAAAAATCAATCATTCTTTCATCACCACAAGAAATAAGTATCAAGACAGCTAATTGAAGTACTTACAACTAAATTGAGGTCTAGTATATTGATCAACAGGCTTAGTCGATATCATGTTAGCAAATGAGTTAACTATCATATCCAAGAGGCATAAGACCTCTGCAAGAAGGGTAAGCACAGATACATCTTGACGTATGGCATCCATCAATTCTGCATGTTTATACCAAAAGAAATTGTATAAGTGCCTCAATCAGATAAAGAAAGCACAAAATTGCAAATAACTGATTGAGACTATATCATTATAGTGGTTCTATCAGAAGTTGAACAGATCTACTAAAGCCAGCGCAATAACTTACAATAGAACTGTTTAATATGTTTAAACAACACAAAGCATGTGCCTGTCGACAATGCTTGTTCCTGGTGATATGCGTTCACTAGATTGATATAAGCAATTGAGCTATAAAACCAAATGAAGAGTTTGACTAGCACATTTGGGAAAACAATATTGAAGAATGAACTCATGAGAAGATTATTTCTCCTCCGAAAACAAAATAATTATGCTTGAAGCTGGTCTGATAAAAACCAAATGAAACAAAAGTTCTGGCAGTAAGTGATGATTTCAAATCATGAACAAATGAAACTGGCCTAATATGTTCAAGTAATGTCCCCTGATTTGCTAGGTTAAATGTGAAAGATTCACCCTCCAAAGAGTTCACTTTTCAACTCAACAGAACCAACTGATGTGCAAAAGAAAATCAAAGGATTTTGAAATTTAGCTATCAATCTACCTTCCAGGCAAAGCTCTGTCCTTGTATAGCATTCTTTAGCTGCAGACTTGTTCCTTACATTCAACTGTTAGTTTCATGCCACAAGAGGAGAATGATCAAAAAGATTTCAAGCATTATCTGAAGAAAAGAGCATAACTGCAAAGCTTATACTTCAATGCCAACAGTTAAACCATCTCCTTGAACATTACAAGGTGGTAAAGCTTAGTGGTTCAGGTTGGGCAGAACTAAATATACTCTACTCATAAGTGTCTCTGCTAAAAAGCAACAATCAACACAGACAGAACATCAGAATGGATAATGCTTCCACTGTCACCCAGCAAAGGATAAGCAGGCTATGGGTGAAAATGAAAAAATAATCTTGTAAGACATGGAAATGGTACAAATAGGCAGAAGCAGTTCTTTGAAATCACAAAGTAATGATTCAGTGGAAGCTAACTTGATAATTCTCAACTCAATTGATTAAATAGTCCAATATGACTGTCAAGATCCAACTCTCCCCTTTAAGTAACCAAGAAAATTTGTAGAATAGACCCAAAATTTGTATTCCTCCATTGTCCAGCTAACCAGAGCTTCAACAACTTTGCAGCTTGACCTTTTCTTTTAATTGAAGAAAAGGTGACCACAACCACACAGGTAGTGTGTTGCTCATCGCCTTAAAAAGGTTAAAGAAAAAAGAAGAAGAAGCTAAAATGGTTGCAGTTTTCAGAACCAATAGATGCAAATCACAGTATAGTTTACATTTTAACAAATGGATACTACAGCATGTGATGATCAGGAAACTCACAGAAGCAAGTTCCAAAGTAGAACAATGGATATTATTTCCATGCTTCACGACCTGCTTTGTGCATTAAGCGTTTACTAAGTTAGCAAAATGACCCGGGAATAGTTTTAATAAGAAGAATATCTCACTAAAACACCTGTATGAATTTGCTTGGAAGTTTTCCGTTGATGTCCTTTTGTGGAATGCTAAAGTAAAACCCTTGTCGATTGTTGAAAGGGATTTTCAGATTTGGTAGCTTATAATCTTCACGATACTTGTTTGCAAGGTTGTGTATAGCTGCTATTTTGACACCAATTAGGACCATCAGAGTCACACATTCTGAGAGGAAAACAAAACAAAATATATAACTCAAACACAAACCTTCACTGGTGTCACAGAAAGATCTCCTTGCAATATCCAGAAGTCCATCAATTCCTGCCTTGACAGCAAAACACTGCTGTGTTCGTGCAACAAAAGGAACACGGGTATGAAGCACATCTTCATCAATCACCTCCCCAATTCTGTACATATTGGTTTTACAAATATAAGTTCGAGAAATATTGTTTGTAGATTGCCAGATTTGAAAATCATGGAAGTACTTTTTAACATGCAATGCGGAAATGATTGACATCAATTTTCATGATGCATTATAGACAGTATGGTAAACCTTGTAGCATTTCCAGACTGGATCACGTATTGCTAGTCAAAACGTGCAACTCTTTTATAATGCTGACATCATCACAGGAGAACGTATAAAAAGTCATACATGCTATGGATTCAGTTTCGTATAACTACATCCACATTTGATTAAGCAAGTGAATAGGCCACCTAGAGTGGCAACAAATCTTAAAAGAGTAAGGATGAAGCTAGAGGGGTGGAACTGGAATGAGGGCACATGTGAAAACAAAATCTTGGGCAATCCAGTCTGAAATGAGAGGGAGAAGCTCTGGTTGTCCATGGTTGACTAAAGGCAAGATGTGGAACAGATTCGATTCGCAATGATTATCATAACTTTTTCCTTTTACCCAGCATCATATACCAGTTTTAGTCGAAAGAAAACCGTATGTGCTTCTGTTTTTTCGAGTAGTTGTATGCATATCTCTTACACAAAACTGCAATATCTAATAAGAATTTCATCTATTCCTCCCATTTTACTTTCAAGCACGTGTGCTTCAGAAAGAAATGTATAATCTTAGAAAGTAGAAGTTGACTTGGAAGTTACCTTTTCCTTATGGAAGCATATTTTTCATTCTCACAAACAGACTTGTAAATATTTGTCAGTAGAAAACACTTGGCATCCTTAAGGACCTGACATGAACAAATTCATGTGGATGTTAGCCAATACAGTATTCCATACCCACCAAAAAGGAAAAAGGATTGACTCACAGTGCACCTTCGAGAGTAGTGGTAATGCATCAAGAGCTGTTTTGAGTAGGATAATACTTGATATCAATATTTGACTCTTTCTTGCATTGTCAATGGCCAGCACTCCATTAGTAACTTTCTTTGGCTTAAAGCAGAAGTGGCAAAGGACCCTATCTGGAGAAAGAGTGGATAGTCATTTTTCCCAGATAGCAGATTTTTCCACTTCCCTTTTTTACTCTAACAGTTACCTGTCTCTTTGGGAAACTTCCGAAGAGCCTGGGACAAGCCAAAGAACAGCTGCTCGTTGCTCATAAGCTCATCCTACAGTAAAAAGCTTAATACTTTTAGTCCATTTAATCAAACAGAACAATTAGAACTTATAATGGAAAATATGACAAAATAGGTATAAATATGACTATATTTGAAGTTCAGTTGAGAGAAATTAAAGTTATTCAATTTTAGGGGATTCACATGATCAAGGATGAAGTAGTTGCTTTAATTGACCATAGAACATCTCAAATTCTGGTGAGTAAAAAAACAGTGATACATCCTGTTTAAAGGGCATTTAATTAATCTTCTACGTGAGTGGACAACAATTACTGATTCTACCATGCTACTGATGTAAGAGCAACATCCTACCAGTTAGGAAATTTTTCAACATTTTATATATGGCATGAGCTCCTTTATGGGTTAACCTTTTTGACACTCTTTGAACTGCCTTTTTACCCTTGCAATAAAGGGAAAAATGGTCTAGCCATACTCAAAATATTATCTTTTTTTCTTATTTTAATAGAATTGTTATTCATTTTAGTAACTACCCCTATTTATAGATAACTACTAAAAAACTACTCATCTATAGATTCTTATTTTCATAGAATTCATTAACAAATTTATTTTCAATGAATGAATTTTTATGAAACTAATTTTACAAATAATACAATAATTATTATTTACACACCCATTGTGTGCGCCTTAATCACTAGTTCATATAACGCATTCATGAAATGGAGATTTCTAAAGATTGCATTCCAGCCTATTTACCTAATCAATTCTACAAGGCTCTTACAATATGCCAGCAATACCATTATCTGTGTCACGTTTCCAGCATCTAGAAGATGACTACTAATTTAATAGCATAGACTTGTAATACATTTGAGAATTTCTTGTTTCAATTTTTTAGATTCATTACTGTTCAAATTGCTCAAAAGACCTTTCTCAATCACTATATTCTTGCTTCTAAGTATATGCCCAACCAGAACACCAAAAATATGGCCTTACATCAAGAAGACAGCTTTATTGCCAAAAAAATGAAAAAAATAATGTGCTTCGGCAAAAACATCTTATTAAAGGATTTATACCTTTCTTTTATTTGAAGTTACAGAACTTGTCCAACTCATGTTTATTGACTATAAAAACAATAGTGGATAGCATCCATTCTTGTTTTTGTTTTAATGGACTTTGTGGATACTGACCAGGCAATCAAGTCGAGCATTGATAGTTTCAATATCTTTCGGAGGCTGCAAAAGATTGGCTCGCAGAAGTCTAGTCCTGCGAAAAAGATATCAAGAAATCCAGTCATGTTAAACCTGAAAGCATGATCCCAAGGTGAATAATATGCTAAAATTAGCAATGGTACATAAAAGCGTCTCTTTTTGTAGCCAACAAACCTAGTAGCATACTTGAATGTTAGAGATTCTGTAATCAATTTAAGTGTAAGTATGCAGCATAGATAGTTTAAAAAACAACAGCAAATTCTTTTACCCCTGTGCAATGACATTTCCACCTAAGCAAACAACAAGCTACTGAGACTAATATGCAATTTTTCTTCCCCATAATACTGGAAAAATAGAGAGAGAGAGAGAGGCAGTACAACCACTTGCTAATGTCAAAGCTAGGGACTTCCTTGATAAGCACTAGTTAAACATGAATACTTTAACGACTTGGAGACCAGGTAATAAACATACCCTCCAACTATTCTTGTTGCCTTTAGCATCTGAAACAAGCTTCTCTTTCTGTTGTTTGTACCACAGAGGGTGGACTGCAGAGGCTCAATGATTTCCAAATTCTGGACGCTGTCATCAGTAAAGAAATAAAACACGTACAGAAATGCAGCACTTTTGAGCTTGACAATCTTAAATTTATGTGGAAACATGCTGATTATCTCTTCTTGAATAACGTCTACACCATATTCAGATAGGGAAAATATGCATATAAACAGCTCTATGTACGAATTGCATGTGTATGGGAATGCATAGATACAAAATTGTCATAAAAAAGAATTGTCCAACTTCCAGTTAAGAAAATGACCTAGTCGTGTCAATATTCATGTGACCAAATGATCCATTAAAGGTAACCTGAGAAATGGAAAATCCACAGTTAGGATAATTTCTACCCATAAAGCAAAAAGACTGAGGACATTACAAGACACTGAAATTGACTGTGATTGTAGAATAGATTTAATATTTTTACATCTAAAACTCAATCTCCTCTTTCTATATGGGACACCAAAGCTTAGCAAAGTGCCTTTGATTTCAACAGAACTTAAGCATGCCAAATTTGCAGGAATCATGAAAGCAGACCCATAACATCACCATTGTAAAACATACTAAACCAAGAAAACATGTTACTTCAGATATGCAATTAGGCTCCACAATAACTTCAAATGACATAATCATATCTGTAAAAGAACCATTTATCTAATCTTTATATATGGTCTCCTGCTTCAATCAACCTTCTCTGACATGGTAAGCAATCATTGCTTCACTAACATATTTGTGAGAACCACTAAGACCACTAATGTGTTCGAATGCATAAATGTAAGATAACCTCTCATGCAGATTTTGGCAGAGAATACCACATATGAACTGGATCATCACTGATTCTGATTCTTCACAACTATCTAAGTTTGGTTAGGAGAAGAAGTCAAAGGTCCAGAATTTCTGTAATTTTATTCATTCTCCAATTTGCTAGAATATTTTCCCAATGGTAGCATCTACTGCTCATATTTCATTGCAGATAATAAACAAAATACATACCGACAATGAGTGGTTTGTGATGATCACTCCCTTTTCTGCTTCAGTCCTGCATAAAATTGAAGCAAACCATTTCTCAGAAACAATTTACCTTACCTACAACAAAAAGAATGCAGACCAGTCTCAAAAGGCATTCATGACTACAGGACATTATCAAAATTCCAAGGGCTTAACTCAGAACAAGATATGTGCCATGGAAATCTGTGGAAACAGAATACATGAAATGCCAAACACCAATATCTTATGTCTCCTCTTGAACTATTGTTAGCTCCTTGCTACTTTACCGCATTTGTAATCTTATTTTACAGTACAATTCAAGATTAGCTCTACAACCATCTCAAGTTCACCACAAGAGTGAAAGTTTACTTTATCACAAATCCTCCCAGGTACAAGACTGTAAGTAAACATACATTAGTTGCAACAAATTTAAAGATCAATAATCAATGAAGTCATGTTCATGGTCATAGATCTGCTAGATTCATTGGTATATTAATAACTAAGAGGACATCAGATGCCAGCAACAACAGCACAATTCATGCTTGTGGAATAGACATTTCAAGCATCACTAGAAGCAGTAAATAAAACTTTAGTACCATTTGACAGTCGCAGCAGCTGCACCGAAGCAAAGATAATATTGTTTGTAGTAGGTATCCAAACCAAGAGCAGATGGTTCTTTGGCAGCTAAATTTTTTACCAGCACAGCCCCCTGCAATATTTCTCCAAAGTGGTTGGAAATATACTTATAATCCAAAATTAACTAGGTAATTGAGAAAAGAGAGTCTAAGAACTACCCTGGTGTCATCAAAGTAACTTCGAGACACTATAACCTGTGCCATCAGAATAAGCAGATACTGTTATGTCCTTGGACATTAAAAATATGGAGTTTCTGTCAAGCAAACAAACACACTTCTATAAACATAGAGACAGGGGTCATACCTTTCTTGTTGATGTGCAAAATTTATCAACCAATTCTGAGATACCAACCATACCATCAGCTGCCAGCTTATTTGGAGGAACAATAATGACCATAGGATCGTAGAACTGCAGTATGGTCTTTGTATTCTGGTAGGAGCTACTTGTCTCAATGTACTGAGAGAGATGCAGAGAAGCAGACCTCAAGTCAATAGCAGCCACTCCAACCTAGATATAAGATTACTACAGCCAATTAGGCATGATAATTTTCAGCATTAGTCACTAAATGAATTCAGCTGGCGAGATCATAATTATTAGCAGTGTATTCTCTGTCTTCATCTGGATAAGATTAACAGAATGAATTTTTTTTAAAGTTGATACTACTATGATCATAGTGAAACTCTCTTTTGTTGTCAAACCTGTAAATATAAACTGAAACAAACATCTTTGGAAACAAAACAATGGGGAAGGTATACAAAATCAGGTCGTGGTTGAAAATTATATCTCCGTATAAAATGTCAAAGCATAAATCAAATGTAGGATGATTTATACTGAGATCGAAGGTTGCAATACCCTCCAATTTTTTTTCCATTTTTGTGTTTAGAATTGTTCCCAGCAATTAGAAAACGTGTCTCTAATAGAAGATGAATAATTCAGCTTAATTTATTGAGAAACAGATTTTATCGCAGCTTTAACCATCACCGTATTAGAGATGTACTATCAAGTTTACAGGTAATCCACACAATTGAACACTAATAAATTTGTATCCACGTGTTACGTATATCTACCAAATCGGACACCAAACGATTCAGATTCATCCGTGTAAGTTTTACAGACACGAGAGCGTATTGCAAAAGGAAAAGCTATGCGATTTTTAGCAGCATATATACATCGTACAACGAGAAATATTTCCTCAGGAGGAAAAATTCACCAAACTAATACCATCGCTAACACATTCAGATGAATTCAGGAGCCCAAAATACGAAAAAAGGAAATTTTGAGATGTGATCAGTGGAATTCAAGTAGATACTTGGTATAAATTTTTCGAAAATTTCACATTCATGTTTCCTTTGGTATTCAAACATGCATTTTACAGGTTTCAGTTAAACCGGAAAATCGCAAAGTGAAAAATGTATCGATAAAACCTCCTTGGCTCTGTTCTCGATGAGGCCGACGACGAAGCTTGACTTCTCTCCGGCATCTTCTAGGTCTTCCATTTGAACGCGGTAGGGTACACTGTAACAATTTGAAAAGGGGATTGAGAGAGAGAAGGGAAGGGAAGGGGCGGGACGGAGGTATTTTAAATGATGTATTTTGAAACCCCCGCCAATTTATATGCGCGAAAGTTCTGCATCCAACATTTGGAAACACTGACTGGAAATGGATGGAGGAAACGGCATCGTACTCCTCCTTGATTGATGCTTATAAATACTGTTTATATTTCTTTTTTCTATTATTTATTCTCAAAAATTTTTTGAATGGATGGTTAAAAAATAAAATTTATTAAAAACATTTTTATTGAATATTTAAAAAAATTGCAAACAATTTCGTGCATTATTAATGATTATTCTACTCATTAGTTGTTATTTCTTAGTGGGTTAAGTTTAATTGGTATCTAAAGTATCATAATTCGTCTTGATTTCTTGACCTTGTTCTCAATTAATTTTCAAAACCTAATTATAGATTCTGATTTTGAAAATTTTATTTTGTTGTGTTCTCAAGTTTAGATCCTAAATTTTGAAATTTTTTTTTTGTTTAAAAAAAAGCTAAAAAAAACCAATTGCAGACATTCAAAATCAAATATACTACCAAGAACTTAAGTTTTGGTGACGTGAGATGAACCCTTGACCTCCCACCGATTTGCCATTATATGTAGCTGTCTTCAGTGGTTTTTTTTCAATGGTGATTCAACTCTCATCGGCTCCTCCTTCTCTTAGATTAGGTTATAAAAATGTTATCATTGCGGTGTAAAAAAAAAAGATCAAATATAAGTTGCTCCAGTTGGTCGATTGATTGTATTTTACTTGCAACTTTAGGTAGTGTAAAATGAGAATAACAAGACACATTAGCTGGTATTGGAGGACACAAGTTGAAGACTCGAGTTTATTCATTTATGACTTCCTCGATCGTAACAAATCGACCTTTCTCAATCGATAGTTGTCCTGCAACTCCAATAGCTACCGAAATCAATCCATCATGCAGATTCACAGCAGGAGCTTGTGCCCCTTTAGCTCTGACCGCAGACAAAAAGTTCAGATGTTCCAAATAGCTGGAACCATGATGCAGTCCATCATATCTGATGAGCAAAATTTATGTGAGGTAAAATACTATAGGTTTGCAGATCAGCAGCCATACTAGCTGACTTAAACGAGAAGGCATGCAATACAAGGGGAGAGACTCACTGTATTCGATCATCTGAGGCTTGCAAGGTTTGTACACCTTCCCTTCCCCCAACTCGAGTGCCCCAGCGTACAATGCTTTCAGGAACAAAGGCCTCACCCTAGAATATATAGTAAGAAATGAAACAGATGCAACACTAATTTGAGTTATATCAGAAACACAGAATCCTACATAGAATAGGAAACACATTCTGAGAAAAATGTAAACTAAGGTCTGTACTACCAATGACATGTCATTCATCTCCAATTTTCCGCTACAGTGATTACAGAATGAGAAGCAACAATGGCATAGAGGAAAATGCAAATTAATGCTGCAGTTCTTCATAATTGCAGCATTTACATAATGGAGAACATGTTCATAATACGTGTAGCTCTTACTTGCATAAGGAGGGAGACAGGATAAGCTAGGAGGACATTTACCTTCCCACCGTCACCAACAACAGATATCTCTTGTTCATTCTTGCTCCCTTCAGCAAACATACAAAGGTCAAGCATGCCACGAGAACCATTGTCGAACTCAATGATTACATAAGCATTGTCAATGATGTCAGGAACCTGAACCCAACACGAGGAAAGAAGAACTCTTGAGTCACATGATCACAAGTAACAAGAGTACATAATATAAAAACACATAAAAATGTGACCTATCAGAGTTAAGTTTCCTCTAGTAAGTTGTTTTCCCATTTCAATTTGCTCTCTGTCACCCATTGAGTTAATCATAACCCAAACTAATATGTAGCGAAGATTATTGATTACTACAACCAAACATAAAAGAAATTTCATCCAGACTATGAGAAAAGGTACCATATCCAAAACCAAAATGGATCATAGGAGAACTTTGTGAAAATGAGGTATTTAGTCAATGTAAATCTGCAGCACAAACTTGACATGGATTATATAGCCCACAGTACACTGCTGCACAGTTCCAGCTACTATATCCAGTTTCTGTGTATGTGGACTATGGACTAGAGAATTCCACAAAAAATCTAACCTTTCCATCATAGATTTCATCTTTGTGATTAACATCAATGGCTCCAGATGCCATTACACGAACAGGATTAGCACCAGCAAATAGCCTCATCAGATCAAAAAAGTGGCAGCATTTCTCTACCAAAGTACCACCAGAATTACAGTTGAACCGGTTCCAGTTATTCACCTACAACAAGCATGTCTTAACAACTCAATGGATGCCAAACCAATACAAAATCGTTCCTTATCTACCTTAACAAGAAAGGGAAATCGATGCTCTCTGATAGCCACCATCTTGACTTGCCCTAGCGTTCCACATTTGACTATATCTATCAGTTTAGCAACAGGTGCCATGTACCTGTACTCAAGCCCAACGTGTACCAGCATATCTGGTCTTCTCTTGGCAGCTTCCACAACCTGATTCAGTGATATTAGAATCCTTTATATTAACACCAAACATCTATAAACATAGAATATGGGATTAAGCATGCAAAAGATAACTTATTCGTGGGAGATCCAAAGAAATAAATTACAGTCACCAGTTATTAAGAGCAAAAGCTTGTGAACGGGATACAATTCTGAAGCAATGCCCTGAGAGACTGGTAAAGTTGAGGATAATTATACCATGGAAACAGACTGAAGTTTCACTTATGCATCTCCAAGTCATACATAGAGATTCAGACAGATTGATAGGTGTTGTGTCAAAATGTTTCTTCGCTGACATAACTAACTCAAAATCGAAGTAGCTTCCCCTAGTTTTGTTTAGTGTGTGCTTTGCCAAATTACAAACTATGAAACGAAAAAATTAGCAGTAAAAGGGACTAGCAAACTTTGTCAAAGGAATGGAACCTTCCATCACACAATGGGATGAATGCAGAAAGGTATGTTCATAAATGAACGCATTCTCTGAAAACTCAAAAGCTTATCTTTTGCCCTTCCCTATAGAATCCTAACTAGTCAAACTAGTCAATTGAAGCCAAAAAAGAAGGAAAGATAATAAAGTTACTCAGCATATGGGGTGCCTGACCCTTCTGCAATCTGCAACAGTTGTGCACAAAGGCTTCTCCACTAACACATGATGGGGTTTCGGATAATTAAGAATATCCATCAAAATCTCAAAGTGAGTCATATTTGGAGTAGAAACCACCACTACATCGCAGAGGCCGCTATCCAGCATCTGCTTATGCCCTGAAAAAACCTTCAAAAAAAAAGTGGAAAATCATCAACGCAACAACCACTTCCTGCTTTCTTTACTCAAATTCTGAAAAAAGACTGTGAAAGTAACAAAACCCACAAATTTAAAACAGATAAATACTTCGTTTTTAAACATATGTCATTGAACAAACAATTTTTTTTTTTTTTTTTTTTTACCTGGAGTGGCCAATTAAAAGATTCTGCTACACTTAGAGCAAGTTGTTGAGAAGGGACATGTGGGTCAGCAATGCATACAACAGCAACCCCTTGGCTTCTGAGATGATACAAGTTGATTAGATGTTCTCTTCCCATCATTCCAACTCCAATAATCCCATACTTAACAATACTTTCTGTTCCAGCTGCCATTTTCTGTTGAGATATTTTTCTTTCTTTTATCTCTACTTCACTGGTTAAAGTTGCCTATTGGGCAATAGAAAGGAAAGGAGAAGATTGCTGATGGGTCTTTTATAGTCGGAGTTTGGAGGCAATCATAACACATGATTAATACAAGGATTCTTCTTCCTTTTTTTTTTTTCATTTGAAAGGATCAATAAAGGTTGCCTCTATATTGACATAATGTAATCACAAGATAAGTGAATTTTAAGGTCGATTTTTGTAGCTAAAAAATTACAAGATTTCCCTGCTACAAAGAATCAAAAGGAAGTTAAAAAGAGTGTTTCTCTAGCATTATAGAAATGAAATACGCTGTGGTCATGTATGAAATGAACACTCTGCAAATATTTATAGGAATGTATCTTGCCTTCTTTTTGGAATGTATTGGTGTTTAATCAAGAAGGGCTAATTTGTTGATTTCTCACCATAGTTAATAATCTTTCCCTTGCTAGGAAAATCGATCAACGTCCTCCCTCAGCTTTTGCTAGTTTAAGTGAGAATAAGCCAACAGAAACACCACGCCTTATCTAATGATATGCCTAAAGGCGCTATCTTTCATCACTTTTCATTAGAGATAAAGATAAGGCGTAATTTTTATTTAGGCACAGAGGGGTGCAGACTGCAGCATTATTAACCATATAGACTAAGGCGGACGCCCGGTATCCATGTCGGACGTGGTCGTCCTCCGCGTGGTGAGAGGGGATTGGCTCGATGGTGACGTGGCGTTAGGGGATTGGCGACGATTTTGCCTTCGTTGCAAGTGAATTTTTGTTTGTGTGGTCGTTGCACCTCATCTTTCCTTTCGTCCCAGGCTTGCTTCTGTCTCTTTCCTTGCCACTGTTTAGCTCTACTGTGGTTTTCTGCAGGCGATTGGTTGAGGTTGTCAGCGACCTCTCTGCCCGCTCATCAGACTCTTCTCTACCGGCTCCAACCAAGTTCCCTTTTGCTCCACATGACCTTTTTTTCTCTTTCTTTCATTCTTTCTTTCGTGCATTGGTCTTCAGACTCTTCACTGGAAAGCTCCACCAACCCCAACCACTCCAGTCGTCCTCTCCCCTTTGTTTCTCCTTTTCCTTTTTTAATCAATCAATCATCTATGCCTTTTGCTAGAAGCGATGGACTTGAGATGACCACTCAGTCCTATCCATTCTTTAGCCTTTCTCTGTCATACATTACCCATTGTGCATTCCCGAAGTTGTGGTCAATATGAGATATGTGAAGAGATCCCCATCAAATTCAACTTTCCTATTCTCTTCTCTTCTTCCATCTCCCTTTTGTTACGGGAGAATAGATGGTGAAAAAATCAGTTGAGCAGAAAAAAATGTTTTGATTAAAATAAAATAAAGGAAAGAGGAAAAAGTGTTGATTCTTCTAATTCCTCCACTTTCTTATGCCCGAGTTCTTTTGTACATTTTTCTGCTTTCTGAAGAAACCGTGTTGTGGGTTTTTTTTTGTTTTTTCCCAATAGAGCGAGGGATCAATGATAAAGGAGCCATCTTTTTCAGGTTTGAGGTTATGTTTAAGAGTTTTTATCAATGATTTTTTAAATCAATAGCCTATTGTTGTTTTTTTGCTTGAACTATTTTTATTTATCGGTAGCCTTCTTGATTTTCAAGTTTAGAAGAGATTTTTGCAGTTTTTCGGGACAAAAAACAGCTTGGATGAGTTTTCAGGAAAATTGCCTCGGCGAGTTTCTTGCTACAGATTTATGTGTTTTGGACTATTATTATCTAAGCGCTTTTGCTTCATTGTCTTTTTTTTTATGCTGTTTTAGACATTTATTTTTTAGAAGTTTGGCTTATAGTTTAGAGTAATTTTTGTGTCTTGTAGTTTTGTTACATCTCTACTTGCTTCAGTTTTGTTCTTGACATGTGCAGGTGCTGGCTAATATGAGGAGAGAATGTGGGCTGAATAATGTGACATGCAAAGTATGGAATGGTTTTTTATTTGATAGTAGTAGATTTTAACTCGCTAGCTTATATGATGCATCTTCAGTTCTTCACTGATAAATGATGCATTGCATACTTAGTTTCTATATCAAGACCATAATCTGAAGCCACGTTTGACTAGAGCCCAATAAACTTATAATTGGTCATATTTATATGTATTGCAAGGTGCTGGGACTTACATGGGGTGTTTGGGATGAACAGATATTCACCGTGTGCCCAAATATTATCCTTGGAGCTGATGTCCTATATGAAACAAGTGGTAGGTTTGTCCCTGTTTTTCTCTTCCCAATATGGTGACTTTTTTGGTTTTGTTTCACATATCACTTAACTGGAAAGATGTTTTTACCATGCATGCACTTTGAAGCATTTGATTATCTTTTTGCTACTGTGGCATTTTTGCTCCAGAATTCTCCCTCTTCGGTTTTTATAACAACTTACCACAACAGAAGGTGGTTATGGATTTTCAATTCCTGATTTTTTCTTGGCTAAAGGACATTTGGTACCGCGCTTGGGTGTATCACAGGTTTATGTTAATTTTTTATTTCTCTTTTTACTGTAAACAGTGGCCATCACCTGATTGAGTTCTTGATGGTTAAATGGGGATTGAAGTGCATGAAGCTTCTAGATGGGTTTTCATTCATGCCAGCTGACAAGGCATCTGGATTAAGTGGGAATACACAGTTGGTAGACATAATTTTGGATAATAACAAACTAAGTTAGCATATGGTCGTGATGCTTATTGAGAAAAATGGTAAGATGCGATATATTTTTTTTCTTTGTTCTTTCTCTTTCTCTCTCTCTCTTTTTTTTTTTGCCTTCTTGAATGACTGTTAAAATACATGGGTTAGGGATGACATTAACATGTTACACTATCTGTTCCCCCCTTGTTTTTATTTATTGCTTCACTTCTGGAATTAAACTAAGCTTGATGCTGAATTGAACTGTGGACCATAAGCAATTGTTTTGGTTTTTGTAATTTTTTTATGTCCTGTAACAAGACCACTGCAATCCTGTATTGCATATTCTTTCTGTTTGTTTCTACTTCTGCATTTCCTCATTCTTATGGTTTTTATTGCTAAAGCATTTCCTCAATTTCGAACAGTCTTTTAGAGAAATGGTTGCAATGTGCTTGGTGAAAGACTTAAAAAAGAGGCCAACTGCAGAGAAACTGTTGAAACATTCCTTTTTCAAGAATGCAAAGCCTCCAGGGCTTTCTGTGAAAAAACCCTCTACTGATATACCTCCGTTGTGGAATCGTGTCAAGGCAAATTTGAGTGTATGTCATTTTAATGGTACTATTATGGAACTGCTAACCATCATTTTATTTTCTAATGGTTTACCCACTAAAAATTGCAGCTTAAGGATGCCGCAGAACTAGCTTTGAAGAAAATGCCTTCAGCTGAATAGGAAGCATTGTCACAGGTCTGGGGCATCAGAAGAATTTACTGGCTGTTTGATCTTTTTCATTCTGAGTTGTCAAAGCTCTTTTACTCTTTGAAAGGGATTTCTACATTTAAAACAGTGGTATTTTTTCAGGCAAAAATAACAAAAGATGTAAATATTTAACTGCTGACCTCCTATTTTCTTAACATCTTTTTTCTGTCTTCTTTTTTTCCTTTTAGGTTTCTTATTAGTTTGCTTTCATGTGTTGTAGGTGCAAGTTTGGAGATTTTGTCTTGGATCACTAACTTTGCATCATTTTTTTTCGTTATTATTGTTTAGTTCTATGTTTAGCTTCTTTGTTACATGTGTTGTGCTGCTTTGGTTTATTGCTCTTCACATTATCCTCAGCATCCTCTTGCCTACTGCTACTGTTCCTTCAAAAAACAGGTATTCGTTCTTTACCTCCTTTTTTTTCTTCTTATTTTTCCTCCAGTGACGTGTTATAGCTGTGATAGTTGATGTGAAACATTTTTTCTGATTCTCTTTTATCCTGCATGCTACTTCACGTTTATCCTACATGGTGGTTTACATGTCTTGCATTCCATTTTTTTCCTGCTTCCTAAGATTTGATGGAACTACATATATGGGCAAACATAGAGAATGGAAAGAAATGAACTTTATCTGTGATGCCTTCTTCAGATGAAGATGCGTCAGAAAAATTCTGAATTGAGAAGACATGACTATAGAGTTCCAGTTTAAATGATAAAATTAGTGAAATTGATTCATGTATACAACAAGGGAATATGCTTCTTATACACTAAGGGAAAAGTTGTTTTAAATCTTGATTCAGTCCACAATAAGGGAAAGCTGCAGACAGTAAGCAAAATAGATTTAAAGTTCGTCCTCAATTTTGTTTTGAACTTGGTATATTTTTTTTCCCCATATGTTTTTTACCTCAAGTATACATAATTTGATTTTAGTGAACTCTAGACAAAGATTAATACGGCACAAGTATCATCATCGATGAACCAAATTTTGTTCAAAACTTACCTGAAGGTGTGTGCTTCTATCAAGTAGTTACCAAACAAAACAACTATAAATTTGTAAGTTTGGGGTATTTTTCATTTCGTTCTTACCATTCATATTATATCACGTTCATAATTTTGTCTAAACAACAACAGAAAGTTCCAAGATTTGTTGGATACTTCATACATAGTGACCTGACGCCTTCAATTACTTCGAGAACTGGAAGGAAAACAATGACAATTGCAATGCGTGAGAGGCAGTTTGCAGATAGCTGGGATATCTTTCTGATTGAGCATCAATTGTAGCCTGGAGAAACATTAGTCTCTGTTCCTGATAAAAGAAGTTCCACCTACACTTTCCCCACCTTTGATAAGGATGGTGTAGATGGTCAATTCCCATGGAATAACATGTTCTAACTGTACTCCATAATAGGGAATACAACAACTTTGATGTATCTAAGTAAATATCTTCCTCGGATTGTGTTTGTTATTCTTTACCAATTGATATAAGCATTGCATTTTCGATGTATTTGTTTGTTTCTTTTCAATGTACTCTATGAGGCTTGCTAAATAAGACGTTCTTGCTTTCTAAGGCATATCATTGGTCCATTGCAACTTAAAACTTATCTAATGCATAACATTTGTATGCTGTAATCAGGTTGACGTTTTCTTTTCATTTGGAAAACTCCAACCTTTAGTGTCAACATTTTATATATAGTATTTGTCGATGCCATTAAATCTTGGGCATGCTCAAACTTTAGTGTCAACTTGAATAATTTACGTAGATTATATGAACTCTTATGTTGTTCACTTCTTTTCTGTTATCGAATTATTCTAAATTTCACTTTCACGTTGATTGAGATCATCTACCTTAATTTGAAATGCTCAAATATACAAGAAATGTGCCAAGCGACCTTTTCAAACAAGCTCCTTTTGTATTTAACACTGAGTTTGTTTGGATAAGAGTTTATTTGGATGATTTCTTTGAGATATTTACTGTAGCACTTTTTGTGATGTGATGTATGTGAGATAAAAAGGTGATTGGAAAGATAAAAAGGTGATTGGGATTTGTGAAAACAAATTTTGCAAACCAAATTTGGCTTGTCCAAATAAACTCACTGTAACTATATATTTGGGCATAATTATCCATCCACCGCGCATCCGCGCGGTGTCCCCGCCTAGTATATTATATTGTTCGTGACGGATGCGGACGAAAGCGCAGTTTTCTGTGACGTCTTCTAGAAACGCACAAACGTCTTCTCCGACAAGTTTGTCACGCTTTCCCCTTTCACAAGCAGTTCAACAATCATAAGCCCTATACATACTCCCCAAAATCTTCCACATTTCTCTCTCTGAACCTTCATTATTACAACAGTGAGATTGCACAGGGAAGATGAAGTTCAGGGCAGCTACTCAGAGACTTCTTCTCTTCGCTCAAGCCGCTCGCCACGCCCGAAATTTCCACCAACAGCCTCGCCACTTTTCTACGTTCTTTCGGAAGGTACAATCCTCTGCAGCCCGTGCTTCAATCAATGGCGGCGGCGGCGGCGGACGAAGGGGTAGCTCTCAAGGCACAACTCCCACTTCACTCTCTAAAACTGCAAAACCAAACAAAAACAAAAATTAAAGAAACAAATGAGAAAGAAAGATAGCAGCATAATATCAGAGAAATGTACGAAAGCGTATATGTGTTTATGCAACTGTCGTGCTTATTTGTTGCTCAGGGTTTAACGATTTTAGCTATAATGTTACTCCGTAGAAGTTTTTTCTAATTAAGTTAAATTAGTTATGCACTACATAGTTAATTATTGAAATTGAGAGTCATTTGTTGTGTATGTGAATGTTGAAATTTCATTTGGATTTTAGGTAATTCTTTCTTTGTTCCGGGAGCAACTGTGGGAACGGTACTTATGCTTGGTGCGCTGCACGCTCGTCGACTCTATGATGATAAGAAGGTATCTCTTTCACCATAGACCTTGGAAAAACTCAAGGTCATGCGGTAATATTTGATTATTGAATTTGTTTTGGATTAAAGATATGAGTTTACATGTATGAGCAGTTTTGGTATTTAAATTCAATTGAAATAACTTCTAGTGCTATACCGCGTGAAATTTTACTGCTGGAAACTATTGAGTTGCTAGAATATGCAAATGCCAATAGAATCTTTTGTTTATTTTCGTTGGCTTGTCATGTAACTTAGTGGAAAATTTGTAGGGCTAGGATGCTGTCGTGGAGTGACCACATTTAGTTTGATTTAAAGATTCATGGATAGAAGTGAAGAGGTAAAAACGAATTGAACATAGAATGAGGCTACTAGAAGATTTTTCCTGCCTTTTTGTGATGTTTATGATTATCTGAGTCAGATATTGGTTTCCAGGGATATTAAACAGTTATTCTTGTGTCTCCAATTCTGTCCGCTTCTTTTGCTTCAATTAATATGAAGGATAACTTCCAAGTGGAACAATCTTGAAATGTTCCCTAAGTATGCTGTCTACCAAAGAGAGTGAGGTTGGCTATGTATTGGTTAATTTCTTGACAGTTGTATTGCTTCTCAGTCAGTTGGGTTACGTGAATCTTCTCAATTTTCTTATGACAGATTGAAGAGGCTAGAGAGAAAGGAATTGAATTGGAGTTCCATCCTGATGTAAAGGTGAACTGCTTTTTTCTTTCCATTGATGATTTTCATTTCAACTACCATGATCTTTCCCTAGTGAACGTCATTTCAAACTTGTGGCTTTGTGAAACCTCAGGCTACATTCTTGAGCTTCCTACCACTGCGTACCATTTCAAGGTTTTGGGGGTTTTTGACCAGTGTGGTGAGTTTCACTTAGAAAAATTGTCAATTAACTAGGTGCATATTTTGCAAACATTTAACATGTGGTTACCATTCCTAAAAATTTCCTGTTGAATGTTGCTTGACCAGGAATATCCCATCTGGCTGCGGCCACATGTCTACAATGCCTGGGCTCGAGCATTCCATTCCAGTTTGCTACTTTTTCCATTTGAATAATTTTTTGGATTGGCTGATTCAGTTTTACTATGTAGCTTTAAACAGTTTCCTTATGGTAGAATATGCCTCAAGCAAGCAAGCTGCACTGGACCAATATTTTGGGAGTTAATCATTGTCTTTGTAATTCAGACTTGGAAGAAGCAGCCTTGCCTTTGGAAGAATATGCATCTTTACGGCATTTTTTTGTTCGCACGTTGAAGGAAGGCTGTAGACCTATTGATTCTGATCCATGTTGTCTGGTAACTGGTAACTAGCATCTTGGAGATAGTCTTGGTTTTATTTTCTGTTTTGCGCTATTAGGTTCTAAATGTCTGTTTAATTTACTGTTGTGTCTTGGGTTCATAGATCAGTCCTGTAGATGGAACAGTTCTAAGATTTGGAGAGCTGAAGGAAGCTGGGGCCATGATTGAGCAAGTTAAAGGATTCTCTTATTCAGTTTCTTCCCTTCTTGGAGCAAAATCATTCCTTCCCATGACTGCTTGCGAGAACATCCAACAAGAGTCTGGTGGAGAAGATAAATCTATGGGAGACGAGACTCAGAAATCATGGTGGAGAGTTTCTCTGGCTTCTCCGAAAGTTAGAGCCATTTCACCAGAGAGGTAACTAAATGCCCTTGTTTGAACATCTCTTACATCATCATCAAGTAACCTTAATGTCACCATTATTGTTTCTTTTCCAAATCTACTCCTGAGCTCAACCTAGCTCTTTCTGATTTTTTCTGGGATTAATCTCTCTAGTATTAATTGGAGAATATATTTGTGAATCTAGATAATATTCGCTGATTGCTTGATCACTTGCTGAAATGAGTTGGGGCTAGTCAAATTTTCTTTAATCCTGATCTAAAGCTTCTTTTTGGCACCAAAATACATAACTCACCCGTCATATCTGGAAGTTTCACTGAGCTCCCTGACTTCACAGGATAATCAATAAAATTTACTGCTTAATCTGTTGATGCATTTTCTCTGTTCAAGTGTAGTTTCTACCCATGTAGCAGTTCCATGACAAATAGCATGTGATGTCACATGGAGAACCCAACTTAATATGTCTGTCAAATTCTTATGCAGCCCAATGAAAGGCCTTTTCTACTGTGTAATTTACTTGAAACCTGGAGATTATCATCGGATACACTCTCCAGTAGATTGGAATGTACTTGTTCGTCGACATTTTTCAGGTTAGTCTTTGTTCCGCTGTATATTTTTGGAGAATAGCGTTTGGTTCATAGAGGAGCAGACTTCTCACTGTCATTTTCTATGATTTTAACATTTTTAATCCTTTTATCTGTTTCTCCTTCCTTCTTTTATAACCATTTCTTTGTCCTTCCCAATGTGTGAACAGCTTATAGCTGGCAATGATTTTAGGAATGTTGAGTTTGGCTTGCTTTTGTCGTTTGAAATTTCTTAGTTACTTTCCCTAGTAACTCAAACTTGCAGGTGCTCCAAAGTTAATACATGGGGTAGCATTAATGTTTCACTGAAACGCAGACATCAATCTTATGTATGAGAAGAATATTTTAGGATTTTAATTTTTATTTCCTATTTCTGGATTTAACTATTGGTGCCTTTTCTTTTAAGATAGCTTCTGATTTGTTTGACCAGCATTTAGGCTTTTGAAGTAATCAAATTAGCTTTATTGAAGGACTACAAATCTTTCTGGCCATACCAACCCTAACTCGTTTTGCTCTTTCTGTGCTTCTTTACTAAGTCCATAGCTCAAGTTTACCTTAGCAACAGTAAACCTTACTTATTCCTTAACAGCCTTTAGCAAGCAAGTTGAATCTACTGAAGTGCACCTTTGGAGTAATATCAGGGCAGTTTTTGGGAGTAGTAGTTCACAGGCAAGGAATAGCTGTGGATTCAGCTAAAGCGAGTGTGGCATAGAATATGCCTCCACCTAATGGCGATTTCATGGACGAGGTTGCCGTGTCCGTCACACTCATGGTCATTAGTCTGGTTAGCTCTTCCCGATAGGCTAAAAAGGAAGTAGGCATGTTATGGGCAATCACTTACCTAAATTTTTTCCCCCTTTTTTTTCCTCCTGCTTTTTGGATGAATTAAAGATACCCCTACTAAATTTTGTAGTTATACTATTCTCTTATTGGCTGTGCAGGTCGGCTTTATCCTTTGAATGAACGTGCTATGAGAACAATCAGAAACCTTTATGTTGAGAATGAAAGGGTAAATATCTTCATCCAATTCTTTTTTTGGTGGGGGCCCCCGCCGGGGGGGGGGGGTGGTGGGGAGATGACAATGGTCTCATTCACATTATTGTTGAGCATTGTCCCCAATTCATTTATAGGGTGAAGGGACTTACAAATTCTTAGTTTCTAACATAAGTTGTATTTGTTATAGTTGCACAAAATACTCTCGAGGTTGAATGTAACGAATTATAGTAAAATATGTTAATCTTATCTCTACAAGGTGCGAACTGCCAAGTTTTTCCCTCAGTGATTAAAATACATAAATTTTTTTGAAGTGCCAAGTTTTTCACTCAGCAAACTGCCAACTGGTAGTGGAAATAATATCTTTGAAGTGTTTCTTGCGAATTTACCAAGTCAATTTGCTATTTATCTGTAGGATTTTCATCTGTGGCCTTATAAGCATAATACCTCCATGCACAGTCAGTGCTTGGTCAGATTTCAGACACATTTTTCTTTTTCCTTTGACAGAGTTTGTTGAACTCCTGGCAATCGTCTCAAGTTATACCCTGTTAATTGTTTGTGTGTGTTTTGTGCTTGAGAATCGAGTCTCTCCATCATGTGCTTGCTTAATATAAAATGGATTATTATGGACTGCATAGAAAAATGCCTTGCACACCTTTTGTTAATATCTTTTTTTTTCATTTTTAAATTGTATGACCAGGTGGTGCTTGAAGGTCAATGGCAAGAAGGATATATGGCAATGGCAGCAATTGGTGCTACAAATATTGGTTCTATTGAGGTTGGATTACAAAATTTTCCATTTCAAATTATTAGCATTATATGTGTTGAAATACAGCTTGTCCGAGGTACAAGTTTGTTTGGTAGGTGTCCCAGCTGCATTCTTTTGTTCTGAAGCATACGTATGAACTTTCCAAACTTTTGTCAAGTTGGCTTCCTCTAAAACTTTAGGATTTAAAACACCTGGATTTCTTGTCAGTAGACATTGCTAAAAGTTATTTATTTAATTCAATAGGCATGAACCGTGAATTCTTTGGATTGGGGAGTGTTATTTGCCCCACTGCATGAATCCAACTAAAGTTCAGGCTGTTCGACATATCTGCTACTGACAAATTAGCATACTAACGCTATTTTTGATGTGTTAAACATGATATAGTTAGTTGGCATCACAAAATTTCCTGTTGTTAGCTCAGAATAGTTTCTGTTTTTCTGTCCTCTTGCAAAATGTTTGTTGGACAGCTTTTTGTCGAACCCACACTGCACACAAATCGGCCCAGAAAGAAACTTTTGCATTCAGAACCTCCTGAAGAACGGGTTTATGAACCTGAAGGCAATGGCATTATGCTTAAGAAAGGAGATGAGGTATGAAAGGCAATCTGTTTCTCTTAATAAAGTTGAATTTAATAGAGTAGAAGCAGGAGATATATTGATGCTTTTTTCTGGAAAAAAAAAACGAAAGAGCACAAATTGGCACTTAATATTTCCACGAATTTGGGTTGCTGCCTCTGAGCGTGAGTGTGCCTGTGCCTGTGCGTGTGCTTGTGCTTGTACAGTACACCGTAGCTGATGAAACACGGCCATTCATTCACTGAGAAACCTTTGGAAACTAGTTGGGCTTGTTTTAACTGATGGATTGTTTCTACTATTGCATGTTAACCACTTTTTACGCTTCCAACTGGTCATCTGTATGAATCGTGGCTTGAAATTGATTGTTCACTGCATCTTGATTTTAACATTGCAGGTAGGTGCTTTTAACATGGGATCAACTGTAGTACTCGTCTTCCAAGCTCCAGTTTCATCTGCAAATGAGCGTATGCCATCTGACTTTAAATTTTGCATTGAAAGAGGGGACAGGATCCGTATGGGTGAAGCACTTGGTAGATGGCATGATGCATAATTAATGATAGCTCGTCAAGCATGCTGTGAACCATTCCGAGGATTCTTATGAATCGTGACCCAGATTTTTGGTGATGAATAGCTAGCTATGAAAGCTTTGCAAACGTCCAATTTGTATCAAGTCCACCATCGGAAATACGGTGTCACATTATTCTGGTGGAAGTGACAAATTTTCACCTGTAATTGATAGAAATTTGTTGCTTGAGAGTTTCTCAAGATGGTTATGTTTATCCTTATCAATAGTGATTGTGCGGTTTATTTGTGCCAATTATACTGATTCCATTCGCTGTCAAGCTTGAGCTTTATGGATCCAATTCAAATGTCTTATTAGCTATGATAAATATTCTAGCATATAATTTAGCAAGTTATCTCAATTACATGCTAGATTGTTGGTAGCATATCCAAGGTTGGCAATGTCAAACCTAAGGAATTAATAGCATATAAAGACTCCTTGTCTCAACATATTTCCTTGTGGACATCGTTTACACACAAAAAATTTACAGCATAGAATACCAGAAGTTATTCAAACAAGTGACCTCCACTGATCAGAAACCAGAGCTTACAATTCCCCAAGATAAGCAAGCATTTACAACAGATTACCAACAGCATATTTGAATATGCAGGATTGAGGTTGCTTGTTTAAATCCCTGTTCAACCAGAGCGATACCTATTATTCCTCCATCCACTTCCAAAGAAGATAAAGCCTGCCTCAAAAACGAGCAGGAAATTTCTTCTGTACACATCCATGTTAAAAAGAAGCACTTCTGCAAGTAATTTCTTCAAAGTAATCATAAATAAAAAGCTAAACGGACAGGAAAGATATCAGAACTGAATTCCTGGCAAGCCAATTTAAATCAAAATGTTCACTATGCACAAAAGAAGCTTATTTGTTCTGAGTCACAAAAAATCTGTGACAGATTATATACATACCAAATTGCAAGAGATGAAAAAACCAGATACTACAGCTACGGAGGTTAAAAATAGGAGGGGCCTGCGGAAAGGATTGTATTTCCTCCAAATAAATGAATTACAAGCATTAATGCTACCCTGAAACTGATAGTAAGCTATAAGACTTGATGGAAAAAAAAATTCATTGAGACCCCAACTCAGATATGAATCAAACTAATGATCATAACTTCAATCTTAATCACACTACAACCACATTTGATCTGTTAGGCATGTCTTGCTTCTTAATTCATCCAAAATCAACCCAATAACAAAAAACAAAATATCTGCTCAATGAAATGCATCTATAGCAAAGTTTTGTTCCTGCTAGAAGAAAGTCAATATGCTGATTTTAAATTTAAACCCAGTTCAACTTCGTTTCTCCCCATTCCGACCAGAGGATGATAAGCATCGCAAAAATTCCTTTCCCCTCCCCATCCAACACCCGACTCGAAAAAGAAAAACCATTGCCCAAAAACATGGCAAAGAAACTGCTTTTATACATCTTGTGTACAGAAATAAAACTCTGAAGCACCAATCAAATTAAGATGTCAAAACATTACTAGACAAGCAAATGGAGTTGCAACACAGATCAGCATTATAGTCCTCGTAATTAAAGAATCTATAGCAAGTATAGATGGCTAAACAAACTACAAGAGCTAGAGAATACCCTGCTAATAACAGCCAGTGAAGCTAAATATTACCTCTAAAACCATAAGGAATCGAAAATGCTACCAGAAAAATGCAATGTAAGAATATCTTCTCATTTGGATCCATTAGCTATATCTCCTCATTTCTTATTCATCTATTCCCTCTTAGCTTCCCTCAGAATCAGCCCAATATTTAAGTTAAACATCAACAGCAGCACAGATAAGAACCTCAATGTTTGAGGCCATAAAGAATCATAAACAATAAAGAATACCTTAACAAAACTACAAGAAATCATGAATTCAGGTAATAATGTGTAGTACCAGTAAAGGATCACACGACCCGCAAGACTAAAGGGAAACCATAATGCTTCCAGGAGAAAAGAAATAAAGATAAACCAAGAATTGCATTACTGAGATGCCAATCCAAATGGTACAAAAAGTAAGCTGATATCCAAAATTCAAACTTGATTACATTTACAAGCACAGGTGGGTCTGTTAGTCCTTGTAATCTTGCTTCCGTCCCTTGTTCTTCCCCTTCTTAATTTCACCAAAACTCAGCGCAGATCAAGAATCCTAATTTCCTCCTCAATCAAAAATGCCTCTATATCAAAACCTTATTCCTGGAAAAAAAAAGATTGCCAACTTTGAGTTAAAACCCATTAATAATTATGTTATTCCAGATCGAATTAATAACTCCCAAACCCAAAATTCAAGAGGGCTTTCAAGAATAATGGGAAAAACAACAGAAACGCGAAAAGCACACCTACGTCTGCTTAGAATAAGAGGAAGAAGAGGGAACGCGCTTGTTGCGGAACATCATGTAGCCGACGGGCAATACAACTCCGATCATCATGATTGCCACTCCGATCAGATATCTTAGTGGGCTTGGTGGGTCGACCTCTATTAATCTCTTCAACTTCAGAACCACCCCCAATAAATTACATATTCAATTGTTCAATTATGCCAAACCATACAAGCAAAATACAAGATCAGAGGGCTAAAACTTACAGGCATTGTCGTTGTTTGCAGGTGGAGATGCGTCAGCTTGAGCAGATTAGTCTTGAAGATGAAAGTAACGATCTATTTCAGGCGGGTCAGCACTCAGCACACAGCAGCAGCTAGAAGATGGGAAAATAAAAATAAAGTCCTCGGGGTATTGTAAATTCGGAGGGTAGATTGGCAAATTGGTCCCTTGAATTAATTTGTAATTTCAGTTTAACCTATACTGTTTTGTTCTAAACCTTTTTTTATCCTTTTCCTTTGATGCAAAACCTTCCTAACCGAGGAATTTTTTATTTTTTTTTTGAAAAAAATGGACTCTTTTATTAAGGGGAGGCCATCCATTTATATAAAAATAAAAAAGAAATAAGTATAAAACTGCCTCCATTGTTGTCAAATAATTACTAAATTCTTTAAACTTTTATTAGTTAGGTCATTAGATGAATTAGAATTGAATGTTGATCGAAGAGCTTAACTATCCATATTAAATAAAATCTAGTCACATTAGTTTATTCTTCCGAACTTATGTGGATATGGCATACAAAGTTGGAGGCAATTAATTTTTGTTTGCAGTTATCAAAAATTGAGAGAGGATTGGGTTAAGTTGAGTAATAGGATGAGAGGGATTATGAGTAAAAGATTTTGGATTTAAATCTACTCATTTAAAAAAAAAAAAGGAGTTACCAAGATTCTTAAGTTATGAAAACTAGTTATCAAACAATTTAGAAGTACTTTTAATGATTAAAAGCGCTTTTTGTGTGAAAGTATGCAATGTCAAATGAGGTCTTAGTTAGATAATGATTTGCTTACGTTACTTGAAAATAGATGTCAAAATGTGGCAAAACAAGTAAAATAATTGAGGTTGTTACTTTTTCAATTCAGTCAAAATGTAATTGATTAAAAAGACGAACAATGAGTTTGTTTGAATAATAGATTATTTACACAAATTTATTTACTTATATCATAAATATATTTTTTAATTATTTTTTATTTTATATACGTCACATAAAAAAAATGTTACGTTATTTATTTTATTTTTTTCAAACACACTCAAGCTAGCACAACACATTACAACCTGTATCCTGTGGTGCATTTCTTAGCAAAAGGTAAGAATCCTATTAGTATGGGCACCAAATGAATAAATCTCCATTCTCCACATGCTAAAAAGTAAAAATTATGTACTTTTATAAGGCTTTCTGAATCTTTCTCGAGACAGAGACAGTTTTACCTTGAAATTTGGAAAAACAATACATATAAAAGTTCATTCATCCATTTCCATAAACAAAACGGTAGTACTGTGTCACTTGAGGATCAGCAGCTATGGCCTATGGGTTTTTGTCCACTTCTGTGCAAACTTTTTCCTAATCACGTGTTTTAGATTAGATAACAACAGGGGCTAAAAAAAAAAAAAGAGGAAGAGATAGAGAAAGGGAAAAAGGAAAATATATATATTTCTCCAAAATCTAACCACCAAGAAAGCATACGAAGAATGTCATTTTCCAATCTTTGCAACTAATGGCTGGTGATTTACACAATATAGCCGCAGCCCCACCACCTCCCTCCCAGAGACCAAAAAAAAAAAAAAAGGAACCCAACAGCCCCAAAATGCAATAAACAGTTGTGTAGGCCTGTAAGTTGTGGGTTGCCAACTCAACCAACTCTCTGAGAGAGGCAACAATCGGATTGGGGCGGAGACGGAAATGAGTTTCCTACGTAAAGTTGTGTCCTCAAGTTTCCCTGCTCAAGTTTTGAGATTTTCAAAGAGGCCCTTCAAGGCGAAGTCTCTTGATGAATCTACCTCTTCCTCCGTCAGCCATGGTATTCATGTCTTCCATTGCCCTGTGAGTAACGGTATCATTAATGACATTGAAATGGTTTTTCATTTTTTAGTTGGATTAGGCCAAATGAGGTATAAAGATGGGATTTTTAATTTTTTGATTTTGTTTTCGGTGTGTGAAAATTGCAGGATGAGGTGGGAATAGTTGCAAAGCTATCAGAATGTATTGCTTCAAGAGGTGGAAACATTCTCAATGCTGATGTTTTTGTGCCTGAGGACAAGAATGTGTTTTACTCTAGAAGGTCTATTGCACTCCCTTGCACTTTGTTTCTTGGTACATTTTTCTATGGCAAGTTAATAAGTTGGTTTGTCCTTTCTTCTTATTCTTTTTTGGATTATCTGGCTTATGTTTGAGGTACCGTGAAGTGGATTTAGGCCAGACGTTGAGAGTTATGGTCCCTTTTGTGATTTATTCTTCAATGGTAGATTATGGTTATTAAATCTAATGATTGACATGTTTTTGTAAATTTGACCGAGACACAAGAATTTTATAACTGTACTTGAGATGCTTTATCCCTTAGTTCAACTTCTTGTATTATCTACAAGTTATCACCATGATATAAGAAATGGAAAAGATACCATCTCTCCTGATGTGTTTTCCGTTGAATCTCCTTTCTGAACTTAAACCATGCGAGACTGAGAAGACAGATTTTCGGATTTCATATCATTGAAGTATAATGACAAGTACATGCATTATATGATAATTATTATGCTTGCTTTTTTGGGGTACTCTTTGGTTTGAGGCATTACATCTGGAACTAAAATAGTTCCCAGGACCTACTAGGAGAGTTCCTCCTGTTATGCTCAGTGATCGCAGCTATCACATTTGGTCAGATTCAACATAACCTGATTTTTTCCTGCATTTGATAAAAAATGATCTTTGTGCTACTATTCACTCGCTTGCTTAAGATAGTCAAGTTTTTTCGTGTGAACCTATCTGAAGGCTTTGCCTGTCATGGTAGAGTTTGTAGCTTGAAAATATATTAAAATATATTAAAGGCAGTCAATGTTGATTTTCTTCAAAACATGCATGTAATACAGAAATGCGCTGCAATGTACAGTGAATTTATCTTTCACCGGGCGAAATGGTCCCGTGTACAAATGGATGAAGACTTTCTGAAACTGTCGAGGATGTTCAATGCTATAAATTCTGTTGTCCGAGTGCCTGACCTTGACCCTAGACATAAAATTGCAATTCTTGCCTCAAAGCAGGTCATTTTCCTCTTGCTTCTAATAATTGTTGTATCAAAGTTTAATAACCAAACCTACATAGTTGCTAGTTTGTCCTTTTGTTTGCTTTCTTTAGTTAAGCCACTTTCGTGCTTTTACAGGACCATTGTCTTGTTGATTTGTTGCATGGCTGGCAAGATGGAAGGCTTCCAATTCAAATAGCATCAGTAATAAGGCAAAATACTTTGGAGATTTTACAATTTTCTTGTGTTGTACTGGCTTTGACAGCTTAATTCTGACACCCAGTTGATCTTTACAGCAATCATGATAGAGCTCCGAACACCCATTTGATTCTATTCCTAGAGCGGCATGGAATACCTTACCATTGCTTGAGGACAACTCCTGAAGATAAAAGAGAGAAAGAGATCCTGGACTTAGTCCAGGATACTGATTTTCTAGTGCTTGCTAGATACATGCAGGTAATATAATCTTTGATATCATAATGATTGCTGTTGGTGTTCATCTAAACGATTTTGGATTTACAATCATAAGTTCAACAGAGTGAGATTTCTTCCCAGCATCCTTCAAAGACTTGGTTGATTGACATTTAAAATTCTAGAATATTTGTATGTTTCTTCATCTCATCTACCATTTTGATCTTCAGTTCAAATGTCTTTTGCTTTAATACAACAGAGTAGAGCATTGGAATCACTGCATTTGCTGCTTCTGATTTTTTTTGTTATCATACACTTGTGCTTTGACATACCAGACTAGCATTATTCAATTACACATTGCAATAACTGTATTTCAAAACTTCAGTTGATTTCTGCAGGTTCTTTCTGGAAACTTCTTAAAAAGTTATGGAAAGGATGTTATTAATATTCATCATGGCCTATTGCCATCTTTCAAGGGTGGTCATCCAGCTAAGCAGGTTTTTTCTTTTTTTTAAGCCTTTTTGAAATGCTTGTTTTAGTCATTACCCTTTACTTCTTTTTGGTAGATTGTAACCTGGCATTCACAATCTGCAGGCATTTGATGCTGGCGTCAAGTTAATTGGTGCAACAAGTCACTTTGTTACTGAAGAACTTGATGAAGGGCCAATAATTGAGCAAATGGTATGTAGTTTTATGTTGTTTACAATCTAAATTTTGCAACTTCATGTACTTCACAGTTCAGCATACTTCAAATTGGTTGCTGTAACAAGTCAAGTAGGGATTGAAACTTATTAGTACCTGCTATCAAACACGTATCCAGATTTAAAAATTTCATCTCTCATACTCTTAAGATGCTAGTTCCTGAAAGATAATTTATTTGCCATAATAGTGGTGGAGAAATTCTTTAACCACCTTCTCTGCCCCTTCGAGTGCTGGCTACCAGTTGATTTGAACTGTCCTCTGTCTAAGAATTTTGTGTTTCAGAATAGTGTGTATTCAAATTTTTTATTCTATTTTCTGCACCAACCTATATGTGCTGCCACTGTATGATATGCAATTGTGAATTGGCATTAAGATAGAGGCTAGTGGTGTTTGTTATAATTTTTATGTATTCCTAATCTATTGCTGGCTATATACAGGTACCATATTTTGGTAACGTGAACTCTAGCATCAGTATTCTGGTTCGATATAACTGACCTTAGGTTCTCTGCTACCTGTTTGATATTCTTGTACTCTTTAACCAAGTAATGTTATCATTGTCCATTTAAGATTTTGATTTATCTGATCATTTCAACATGGCAAAAAGTTAATTAAGCTTGGCATGTGAGGCTCCCCTTGTTAGAAAACAATCTTTTCAGTGCACATAACATGTTACGCATGTCATAATTAAACAAAACGTATGCATGGGACAGGCCTTTAAATGTCTATGCCTGCCGCTGTTTCTCATACTGTCTGCTTGTGCTTGCTGTATCTTCAGAATATCGAACATGAGTCCTCCTGCCATTTAGCAATTTCTGTACATGGCACAAGATATGTGATTCTGTCTATTGAAAGAACTAGCTGAAAGTGTGTCATGGTGCTGTTGTTCTAAAATAGAACATTATAACTTTTCAGGTGGAAAGAGTTTCCCACAGAGATAATTTGCAGAGTTTTGTACAGAAGTCCATGGATCTTGAGAAACGATGCCTTTCAAAAGCAATAAAATCATATTGTGAGCTGCGTGTTTTGCCTTACGAACGAAACAAGACTGTTGTGTTTTGATGATGAAAGGCAAATCTTGTTTTGAAATCAGGCGTTTATTAAGTATGGGATGCTAAGTCATTTTACTTGCACTCTTCCAATGCAATTCCAAGTGACAAACTTTTAAGTCCACTTTCACTTACTCTGTAATTGTTTTATTTAGTTCTGCAGCTCATCAGATATGTAGTTTTGGTATATCAGTTATGGTGTTTCTTTTAGCCAAAGCAGTATGACTTGTTCAATTTCATTACTAAATTATATGAGAAAAATGAAGGGAAGGCAGATGTAAAAACTACTTGCTGTAACTAGATGCTTGATAACTTTTTAACAAACTGTAAAGCACTGCCTTTGGCAGATGACAGTTTGTTATTACGCTATATACAATACTGGCTCCTTTCATTAGAAACTATAGAGAAAGAGAAGCACAAGAACTCGCACAGGAAGAAAAATTGGGTATTACAACCGTGGGCTCATCATATGTTATCAACAAATGAACATGAATCTTTGTACAGATAAGACTTGCTCTTTTATGTTGCTGGATGATACAGATATCAGAGCTAGCAAACAACAAAACTTCACATGAAAACAACTGCTTTTATCTAATTTATCATTGTGAACCCTAGCCCAAATACATATACATACTCTACTCTCTGTTTATCAAGAAAACTTCACGTATGAAACTGAGAAATTATTGGCAAACAAGCAATCAAATGCTCTTGTTAATGCGTAAAACCCTCATAGAATGCTCAGCATCTTCCATGAAACTGGTTCGATGCAGTAGATCTTGAATTCCATCCACCCATTTTTGTTTGTGGATTTTGTTCTTGCACTTGAATTCAAGAAGACCCTGTGCAGTTTTGACTCCAAAATAGACTTCTGTGTTTTCCCTTTCTTTCTTGAACGGCCAAGTTGCGGTCTCATCACAAACCTCATAAACAAGACCTGCAGGTGCCACTGAAACACGTTAGATACAACCATGGAACTGTTTCTCCTGAATCAGTGAGTAGACTTGGTATGGCAGAATGATGGAAACACAACTATTTGTTTGATTCACAAATATAATGCAAATTTGTACTTGAACATGTTAAAAGCTCACATTTGTTCTTTTTGGAAAAGGCTCCAGCCACATGTTTGCTCTTTTGTTTCAGTATCACCTGCCATCAGATTCATTAAGTTAGCAATGTAAGCCTTTCCAGATAATTAAGCATTTCAAAGGGTAATATTCATGTTAGTTCATATGTTGGTTGTGTTTTCTATACCTGGGATTTCTGGTTGATGTAGACAGAAACGTGTTTCCACTTCAGCTCACCTGAGAAGTCCAATCAAATATTATTACAATCATTATTCTGATAAAGAAGCTGCTTCTCATCAATCCTATTAAAAAAAAAGGTTCAAAAAATGAAGCGATGTGTTCTAAGATTTTGAAATTCATCTTTTCGAATCCATGAAACTGTAAATTGGGATTTAATTGCCAAACATTCTGAGTCTGCATTTTCTTCCTGCTATCGTAAAAATTGAAATCTGAATTTCCCTCATAGTCAAGCAAAGATGCAAACATTCCCGACCAGATTACTTCCACAGTTCAGCAATTTCTTGCTGAATTTTGTTGCTTGACACACTATGTCTTCTATGCGGACAAGAGAACGCAGTTACCTTTTCGCGTGTGTTGCAGCAAGTCACCTACAAGGGGAGCATCTTCCATTTCACTACGAAAACCAGCAAAAGACTGAGTTTCTGCCATGCTCTTGTCACAAGGAGTTATAGATGCATTCCTCTTTGATTCTTTTGGCAATCTTGCTTTCAAAGCTGCTTCTCCGCGTAGTGCTTTTCAATAACAAAGAAATCAATGAGAACTTCTGAAATCCACTGTTCAAAGTAAATGGAAAACCAGTTGAATGGATATGTACCTGTTGCAGCCGCAGCTGTGAGAGTTACTAGATCGCTGGCACTGCGAACATCCACAGCTGATCTGACAATGGAGGCTACACGATCGTGCTCAGTCCCCGCTGATTCAGCCAATTCAATGCAATGGGATGCCAGAAGTTCTGTAGCTGAGGCCAAAGCTGTGCTCATTTTAGAGCTTGAACCTTTTCTGTTTTCTGCTGCGGCCACAGACGCCAATGCTGCAGCTAGACCTGCAACAGAGAGGGCAGCATGCATATGTGCATTCTCCACTCGTGCCTTGTCTTTCTTCTTCACTGTACTATGACTAGATTCCTTATGATGAAACCACCTTCCAATTGCCCCTGATCTTCGACCTTGAACAGGCAGATTTATGACCTTCCCTGGCTACAAGAAAATCCAAAGCGTTCGGTACCAAATCTGGCAGTGAGTCATATTTTTGCCATTTCTAATGGTAAGCTGTTGCTAAGATATCTTGACGAGTTAATAATCCTAATTATTCTGGATTTATAGACCCTTTTGATAAACCGACCGAGTTGTTTTAGACTCAATTCTTTGAAAACTGACAAAGTAAATAAAAAAGTGATCACCAGAATGGGAAGAAAAGTATATCAGGGCTTGAGATACTGAAAAGAGTTGAGTAACTTACAAACTGATTTCCAGTGACCATTTCTGGGATTGCATTCAGTTTCTTGTCAGATGCGGAGTCTCTCTCTTTCTGAGCAAGAGCTTTCGAGATTTCTGTAGCAGAGAGACTCCAAGATCTTGACAAGAATTCCATTGGCTCCCTCGGTGTTTCTGGCTGAGGTACTGATGGTATATTTGATTCTGCTCTCACCTCTTCATCTTCTTCTACATTGTGAAGCCAATTCCTTGAATTCTTCTTCCATCCTAAAAAGCGACTAGCCTCCATTTGCACTCACTTTCACTCTACTGGACTATACTTACAACTTACTCTATAGCACTACTTCTATGCTTTAGCAGGAGAAGCACAAGAAGCAACTCTGCAGCATGCTCAGTCAAGTTCACTTGTATATATAGTAGAGACAGACTAGCACCAAAGTGGCATAGTGGCCACCACCATCCTTTGCTAGCAGTCCCGTGCTTGGAGTTGGAACCCCTAGGAGTTCCAGGTTTGGTCTCAGTACATTAAAAAATATATATACACATATACATACATAATATGGTACTATATGAGTAGGATTAAGCATAAACATGAAAACAACTCGTCACACTTTGTTGGGCACCAAATCAAAACGTTGCGCTACATTTTTCTACAAAAATTCTGTAAAACAACAATCCAAACGGGTTTAAATCTAATCAAATTCTGTCTAGTCAAACATTTGTTTACGTCACTTAATATTTGGCAATTTAACTTATGTAAGTTCACAAAATTTTGAATTAGATTATTTGACTCGGTTAATTCTTGTCATGCCAAAATCATATTCATAGAACACAATATATGCTTTATACGTAAAAGATATTAGTATCTTTTTCAATTCAATATTCTATTGAATACGATGCTGAATTAATGAACACGTATTCCAAAATTTACGTAACTCAATATTCTTTCTTTGAGCAAAGACACTAAACAAATGTTAATTTGACCAAACATAAGAAAACATCGTCCTGGTAAGATGGGGAATGTGTTTCGCAACGCCCATGCAGCTCTGCATATACAAAGCAAATAGGGTTGGCCTATGAATACAGACATGCACAAGTAGCCGATGTGTACGAGGAGGAGCATATAATAATTATACTAAAGGACCAAATCTATTGCGGGTTTAAGACTAAAACTTTCGGTGGTCGGCATTAGATTAGTTTTAAAATTGTTTCAGGACCAGGCACAGCCGTTCTTGAACCTTGGACTAAAGGGATTAACATTTACTAAGAGAGAGTGAGGACGAAGGGATTAGTGCGCTAGCAAATTGAGAAGTTGCCGAGGTCACACCCATAGGAGCCCCACGTGCACTAGGCAAATTTTTTACAGCAATTATTTGCACTGTCTGTCTGCTTTAGTCCAAGGCTCCAACTCCAAGCTATCTGGGATTCCCTTGTTTGACAATTCTAGCGCGTTCTAACACTTCTTGATACTTTAGAAAAGTTGGATACTTACCTTTCTTCTGTAACTATATGCATGCTTTTAACAGGGCTTTCAAATACAATTTGAACCTATGGCACATTGCAATCAATCCCTTAATATTGTGTGTGTTGGGAGGAGGGGGAGGAGGGACTTGTTTCATGAACCATGGATTTCATTCCAGCGAACACATACATCAAAACCTTGTTTCGATTGCGTTGAAGTTGCCAAAGTTTCTGTTGCAAAAACACCTAGCAACGTTGGTTAACCTTTATCACATGGCCTAGCTAAAGTTTCTATGCCAAAATTTCTTGTTCTACATGATTTTAGTGCCTTAGATATAAAGAAGAGAAGAAGAAGACAAAAGGCCATTTATGGATGTGTATATTTGTACTTCTATGGCTTTTCAGAGGCGGAATGGTAGGAGCGGATGGGAAGGGGCATACCCTGATATCAATTTGCCAAATGTCAGTATTACCTTTTTCTTGTTGCTTGGTAAAGTCTCATCTCAAAGATGCTTTTGCCTTTAGCAATTGCTTTTTCACGACTATATAGTACTAGTAAATACAATCTGATAAGCCCCAAAGGTCAAGTTGGTAATAATTTCGCTTGCTTAAATTTGCCTTTTGAAATTACCAGCCTTTCCTATGATTAAAGTGATACATTTTAACATAAAGTGCTCAAAACTGACGTACAAAGCAAACATCAGGTGAATATAAATTCCACCTTTTTTACTCTCTTCTTTTCATGAAAATTGCTCCGCTTTTGGCTCAACAAGACTTCTCAATCCGAATGCTGTAGTAATAGTCCATTCATCTCTTCCTCATGTGAGCAGCAATGATGCTGGACCATATCTTGACTATTCTCTGATCAGTTGCATGCCTATCTCCAACAACAGTCTCCCTTTTTAGTAGTCAATAATGTGTTTTCTCTGCTTTAAGAAAACTAGGTGCACAAAAGTTGCTTCAGTTCTTGTCAGTGTGGAGTTCGTGCATTTTGTCTATTTAACAACAGGATAAAGTGATTGCAGTGGTGATGATACTGACAGAGTGACAGCAGTGCGTTCCATCTTCAACAGATTCAATTCAAAGCAGTGCCTTTTGATGGAAGCCCTTTTAAGCCAAAGATGGATTGCACAACTTTGAATTACTTGCAAGAATCATTTAACAGTTAAGCAACAGATGTGGATTTGAACATAATCCTCCCACGAGGGATAAAAACAAGAATCATGTTACAAGCACGATGATGAGAGGAGGGGAGAACAAGAAATGAACTGGATCTTGCAGAGCACCAAATTTTTAGGCGGCAGAAAGTGACACATAATTGTAGTGATCATAGCAATACTAGTGTTACATAATTTTGATGGCTAGAGTACACGTGTGGAACCTGTAGAAATGATGTGCCTTACAGGAATGGATTTGGATTCTCATTCATATTTTCTGTAAACAGAATTTTCAAAGACCGTTTTACATACGTTAAATCGTTACAATAATAAGACACTTTCTCCAAGCAAAGGATTAAGTTAACAATAGAGATGCTCTTTATCTTTGCCATCAACTATTGGACATTATCTGTGGTTACATTCATTCCCAAGTGTTCTCATCCATCACATCTGTTGATAAAAAAAAAGATATTGATCTACACGAAGCTTATTCCTATCAATCTTTATACCGATTTGGACCGATACCCAAAACCTCCACTATTGAGAAGCCTTTTCTGCTTGCTTGGACATGTGTCATCCAGTTATTGATGCAGGGTAAGACCTCCACAAGAAACAATTAGCAATTGAAAAAAGGAGAGAAGATAAGATTTAGGAGACAAATAATACTAATAATCGTGTCAAAGTTCCTACTTTGTTATCCCAAAGACAAATTAATCTTCTATCAAAATTTAACCACAATTTCAACCATAGTAAAGAATTGGACTAGTAATAGCCTTCCCAAAACATAAAAGAAAAAAAAAAGGTTCCATTTTTATTTCACTACCTTCTCTAATTCCTCAATGTACATTAAAAAAAATGAGAGCGAGAGAGATAGAGAGAAACACTACTGCAATTTGACATAATTTTGCACTTTAAACATCTTTTTTTATTTGAGAAGGAAAAAACCACAAAGGTTTCTTAAAGAAAGAAAGAGAGAAAAATTTACAAGCTCAACGACACAAAATACAAAAAAGCCCATATTAAAAACGAGATAGGCCGCTCAGGCCGTGTATTCTTGGGTGGCCGGGAGTGCCTGATAATAACTAATGAAGACATCGCCATATATTAGCCCAGCCAATGCTCCACCAATAAGTGGGCCGATCCAATAGATCCAGTTATCCCCGAAGTTTCCGCTAACAACGGCTGGGCCAAATGATCTTGCTGGGTTCATGGATCCACCACTGAATGGGCCAGCAGCTAAAATGTTAGCTCCAACAATGAACCCAATTGCAATTGGTGCAATTATTCCAAGGGACCCTTTCTTGGGGTCGGCTGCCGTGGCATAGACTGTGTACACAAGACCAAATGTAGTGACTATTTCCATCACCAAGGCTTCAAATCCATTCATTCCTGAGGCAACGTTATGTGTAGGAATTGCCTGCCAAAAAAAAAATTGTGCACAAGATTAATTCCCTTTCTTGAGTTTTATGTTAATTATTATGCAATAAATTTCCAATCTGATTAGATTTTCTAAGCTTTCCTTTCCGATCAGAAGTTTATTAAATTTAGTGGATGGTTAGGCTTTCAAATCCCACGATAGATTGAGTTTTTTCTTTCACTATTTATGGGTTTTTGAATTCAGTTGTGATTTCCATCATTTGCAGTTTTGTTTGTATTATTCCCACCATTGTCATCACTTGTGATCTTGTAAAAGAAATTTTTTTTTTTGCCTCAGCGATAATATCATTATAACCTAATCTATCATATTCTACAGGAAAGTGAAGCCTAAAGAAACTGTATCAGATGTTAACAAGTAAAAAAAAAAATCCTTTTTAGCGACCACTGAGCTAAAGCTCGATGGTTTATAAAAATAAAATAAAATAATCAGGACAAGTTTTTTCTCACAAATTAATGATCCTGAGGTACATGGTACGTACCAAGCCATTAGTAACAAATTTGAGGAGGGCGCAAGCAAGAATGGAACCAAGCAACTGGGCAATCCAGTAGAAGAGGCCAGTTAGAATAGTTATGTTTCCTCCAATTGCCAATCCAAAGGTCACTGCCGGATTCAAGTGGCCACCAGAAATGTTGGCCGCAATGGCCACCCCCACGAACAACCCCAATCCATGAGCCACGGCCACTGCCACTAGACCAGCTGGGTCTAGAGCTGCATCCGATGTGAGCTTATCTACAAGCACAAAACAAGGAATTTTTGGTGCACAAAATTACTAATAATAATAATAAAAAAAACAATGGAATAGATGTGTATAATTGCTAATGAATCTCAATTCTTGCTGTGTTGTGGGCAAGATTCGATACAATTACTACAGAGAAATGGAATACTTACTGTAGGCTATTGCTGATCCAACACCAGCAAAAACGAAGAGAAGAGTGGCAATAAACTCAGCTAAATAACACTTTAATGAACCAACACTAAAAGAGTCACCAAAGCTACCAAAAACTATCTTCACCATTGTTTCCGATCACCTGGGAAAGGCAAGCAAATTACTAGCCAAAAAAAAGAAAAAAAAAAAAAAGCTCAAAATCCCAGAAAGATTGACTCACTAAAACTTGTTGGCTTATGAAGTTCCACAATGATCTTCTTTATATAGTGCATAGAATTGTAAGCCAAAACTGGCATTTCCAATATTAATCACCGACCATGGGGCCTAAGAGAGGGAGCTGAGGCCCCTAATTGGTGCCGCCCCACCGGCCTGAGTTCAGAATATTGAACATTATGTACATGGCGACGACTGAGTAATTAGAATTAAGGGAATTGCTGCTCAAATGAGGGGTGGTTCAATATCACTTTTTAGCATATAATTAATGAGTGGATTTAATAAAGTAATCAACTCCACCAAAATAATGATTGATGGCCTATTTCATGATAAGTTTTACTAGTAAACACGTATACCTAAACCCACATAAGCCGGGCGCCTTATAATAATTCTGATGATAGTGGTGATTATGTTAGTGTAAGCAGAAGGATAATGCAAAATAATATGGGGAACCTTTTCTTTTTCTTTTTTTCTTTTTTCTTTTTGAGGAAGTTCTTGAGTCATAAGCTGATCACATTTTTTATTCCAGGTTTACTATGGTAATTTATTTAGATAACCTAGTAAAATACGAGCTAATAATAGTTATGGTTTCACTTATTATATCATAAAGAAGCATTATATTTGTAGCCAGTTAGATGTTCTTATAGACTACCCAACTGGAATAGTTGTCATTTGTATATATGCAAAATACTTTCTTTGAGGAGCTCTTTAATTTGATCCTTTTGGTTTATGCTAGTATGTGTGATCAAGTGTGTTGTAGATAAAGGAGTATTTCAAAAGATTTTACCCCGTATTGGAAAAGCAAAGAAAATTCTTATCATTTTATAATGCTTAGTCTTTTATTGAATTTGTATTAGATAGATAACTAGTGTGGATTCGTGTGCATGAGAGGAAAGTTGAGTTGGACCGATTCAATACAAACTAACGATTTGCACCCCTACTCGTGTGAGTATTGAACCGGCATATTAACGTGAGTTAACACGATCTAATTTTCACAATGATTAGCAACACAAACTAATGAGTTATCACAGGTGGCACGACAGCAAATATAACAAGAATGTGCAGCATCTAAAACTATGTACGTACTTCATTTTCAAAATCAACAAATTCTTGAGGTGTGGTCTTATACTTGGCTACTTCTCTTACAGTGGCTAGAGACTCTTCTTTCAACTGCTAGAAGAAAAAAGAGCTGCAGAAGAAAAACATCATATCAATTCAAGATATGGTCTTCAAGATTCTGGACCTCTTGTTTGGTTTGCCCTTTGCATGGGAGCCTTTTTCTGATCCCATGGTAATTTCTTGCATCTGTCAATTTATTTTCCTTCGTCTCTGCAGTCCGATCATCTTCGAATTTTGTTCTGCTCTAGAAGTATTTTCTCAGGAAGATCTAGATATACTATCATTGACCATTAATGCAATTGTTTTGTCTGGTCTTAGAGCTTCTGTTCACAGGAAAGAGTTCTGAAAGTCATGACTAGACTTTTGATTTTGGCCAAAACATTTACTTCTGCTTCCCGACTTGGTATTTATCTTCTTATTAGTATCTTTTCCCCCTTCTGTCTAGCTGGGAGTCTTTACACCATCGAACATTAGAGACGAATTGGAATCCGCCAAAAGAGAGTTCCTTCAAGCTAATATTGTCGTGAAGTCGAAGAAAGCGTTTTTACCAAAAGTGCTTAAAAGATACACGAAAGAAGCATCGATTTCAGCAGATGATCTTCTTGATTGGATTGCTGAAAGTGCAGGCAAGAAGCCTCACGATTCAATGAAGAAATGCATTGAGAGTGCAAATACCAAAAAAGCTTCTCCGATTATTGAATGGTTGCCTTACAATTCAAGGTTCCGATATGTGTTTGCCAAGGATCTACTAGAGAAGCCTTGGTGGGTATTGAAGTCTAAACGAAATCTGGTGGAGGCTGGCTATAGATATAATCAAAATTGGATGTTCATTCTTTATATTTAGTTGTCATCTTTCCCAATGTTAATTACTTGTCTGATCTTGTTGAAAAATTAGATATTCATTAATCATGTACTACATTTCTGCTTTGGAAAAAGTAAAAAGGAAAAGTCATTGGAAAGGAGTTTTCTACCCAAAAAAATTTTTACGCTTTTTTGTGAACACATTTTTCAATCACCTTATTATCTCATATATATCATATCATATATCATATCGTTACAGTATATTTTCTACAAAAATTCCAGAAAATTGCAAACCAAACCCATCCTTAATTGCCCTGCCAAGAGCTGTTCTATCCTGAAAATACTGCTATGCATGTCAAATGGCCCAAAGTCATGTCACTTCAGATTAAGGTGTCATTCTGCATTTTGGGCCGTATCTTCTGCAACGTTGCTCCAAACCCTCAGTCCACAGCCCGCCTTGCAATTTACTAGTTTTAATGCCTGGGTCGAATCCAATGCATCGCGGCACAAATCCTGCCCGTTAAGTTAAATAACTGTTCATCAAAAGGATTCAGCTTTTCAAAAGGTTTACCCTCCATTCCAATTCCATACGGACAACACTGATGGCAACTGATTACACACTGTTACTGTGTGAAAAGAGAGTGAGAGAATGAGGCATTTGGCACTGCACCCCACACCAGCTATAATAAATCGCCCCATTCAATGCTCTCAACGACACAAAGTGATGGAATTGAATTCATCTTAGCTAACTTTGGCCCCATGCATTTGAGCAGGTTACTATTGCATGCCAAGTATTCGTTTTTTCACTCAATTATGACGACATGTTTTCTTGTTTTTCTGTTTTCGTTGCAGGCTTGTTTAAAAATCTTGCAACTACATTCCATTTCTGCCTGAAACGTGCAGAACCCATTAAAGAATGGATCATCTTCTTTTTTCTATCACTCATTAATTGGTTCTTTGAAAAAAAACAAATTTTTTTGTGGTGTCAGGTTTCATTTATTTCTCTTGTTTGCTTTATAGCACTTGTTTTAAAATGACCCAATTAAGATTGGGTCCTTGGGGGTAGGAGGAGTATGTTGATGAAGAATGTGAGAGAGCTTTGAATGTTGGGTTGGGTTTCAAAGAAAGTGGAGAATAATGACTAGTTTAATTGTAGATGAAGGTGGGAAACAAACTGCTGCTGTTGGGAGACAAAATGGAGATTCTGTGGCACATACACATACTTATGCTCAACATAGGCGTTCTAGGAGGTTCATTTCTTGTCCTTTATATCTAATAAAATGTTTGGGTAGGACTTGTATGTTAGTTTATGCTGAATTATTCAAAGATTTAGATCAAATAAATTTGTCGCTGTACTCACCTCATTTTTTTTTTTTGGCATACTTTTGGAGTTTTCGTTTTCTTTTCTTTTTTCTCCCTGTATAGTGATGGGTGAAAAGCTGAGAAATTTGGTTTCAGTAATCTCAGATTTTGTCATTCTGGTAGGAGTTGAATGTTTGTTCTTTCTGCGCAGTTTACCTTTTAAAAACGCACTAGCTTGTGTTGAAATCAAATTTTGTTTGTTCCTCTCTATCTCTCTCTCTCACTCACTGTTTTTTCTTTTTTCTTTTTTTTGTTTCGGGGGAGGGGGACCTGAGGTGCAAGTTACAAATCGTGCTTTTTCTTTTTTGTTTAGATTAAGTTCACAACTTGGTTGTTCTCTCCATAATATTAGATTAAACTCATTCTTTAGGTGAAATAATTCGTAGGAGTCAGGATGAATAGGTATCCGCGTAAAAGAAATTTTGGCAAACAAAATGCTAGGTCACTGGACTCACGAAATTATTTTGATGTCTTCCCCTGGGTAATGGTATAATTAATGAATGATTCCCCATATGTCAAATAGAAAAGTGTTCACTCAGTAATTGGATTTCTGGATGTCATTGTCTTTGTTATTTAATTTCTTTTCTCTTCTGAATTTGTACTAGTTTAGCTGTTGTCCCTTGGATTCGAAGTTCCATGACTTAATCCAAAAAGAATGAAAGCATAAAGTGAAGCTGCATTTCAGGATACACTTTCTGGTGGAAAGTACTAAAGTTTAACATGTTGGATGAGCCTCATTCGGTTTAAGCTAGTTTGTTATGTTTTGGCCTTTGAAGTTTCAATTTCCGTATTGGAAACCCCAATTAAAGATTTTTCTGGTAGTAAGTCAAGTGACTTAAGTGCTTTTGCTCTTGCTTTTGCAGTGCTTCTGACAGGAATTTGACTGTTAGACCAGAGAGTAATCTGCATTCTCTCCAGCAAGACATTAAAGAATCACCTGTAAGAAATTGTTATGCAATCATTAACTGCCACTTTAAGCATACATGAGATGGCAGCAAGTTCAGTTTTGTATGTTAAGATGAAAATTTTTCACAGTTCATCTTGACAAATTGAACAGTGGAATCAACAGGAATTACCCCCTTTAACGCGGAGTTGCAGGGCAAGTCCACTTCAGGCGCACTCGGTTAGAGTCAACAAAGATGCTGTTTCAAATCATAGAGCATCCCTGGAAAAAGATGTAAGAGTGGAAATTGATTTTGTTTTTCTACTTGAGATGAAGGACAGATTAGTCTGCTATATCTGTTCTATGTTTTCATGCTTTCACAAACAGTAAGCCCTTTCACAAACATAGAGTCAAGTGGCTTAGTGGAATTATATGATTTCTGTTGCTCATAGTTCCGTTGTACTCCATCAATTAGTCTCTCCTTTTGTAGCTTATACAGTTTCAAGCATTCTTATGATTCTTTTCCACATCCAGTAAGATCCCCTTTAGTTAACAAAGACTCACGGATTAGAAGTGCTTTATGTGTGTGCGTCTATGTTAGATCACTGCGTGTAAAGAACATACACCATAACAGGTGTAATCATGGAAGATAGTTTAAACTTTAATCTTGGAGCTCCTCCCTTGGTTTTGCAACCTTTAGATCATAAACTCATTACGAATCATATAGTCTTTGAAGACTACTGTAAAACATATATAAAAAAAATTATCATGGTTCCATGAAGGAATGTGAATGAAGCATCAGGGTGACATATGAACACAAAATAGTAATTTTTGCATGAGAATCAAAGAATGAAAAAAAGAAACTTTTTTTTGTACGAAATTGATTGCTCTGCTAGAGTTTTTTTTTTTTGTAGGAAATTTTTTTGATACAAGGACCCGTATGAATTTGCTTTTCCGTACAAGCCTAATCCCATCCA